CAAATGAACTGTCATAATGCAAAATGTAGTGAATTCATCGTGCAGTTTGCACGAAGCATATTGTGCCGCACATTTGGTACACAGTGTGAAAGTAGAAACACTACCACTTCGAAGTAAATGTGTATTGTGTAAGCTTACCGCTACTCACCTACGTAATGGTAGCTAGTCTAGCTGGAGCTGTGCCTTGCATGCTCACGGGCGAGTGTTCTCCACGATAGTTGGTCAAGTCTATGCGCTCTTCCTTTACTCGACGTCGATGAGAACGGTAAACGATTCTTTACTTGCTCAAAAAGAAGGCCAGCCGAATCGAGAGAGCTGTGCGCTCGCAGGACCTCATCACTCGTCAGAAGTGCTTCAACGAAGCGCATCAGCCGCTGAAGCTCTGCAAGCCGGATCTTTTGTAGTCTTGAAGCCATATCGTGCTTTGATAGCTGCTTTAGTGGCGGTTGCCCAGCACACCATTGCTGCCACACAACGCGAACGGTTCTTGCGGGTAGCACAAACTCTCTTGGCACTTGATGAAAGCCCCCACCCCATGTGTAAAGCTCGGTGTGCATCGTTGCAGTAGCATTCACCGAGGACTCTGTCTGAGTGTGAAGGTACACTATCGCCGAGCGAACATTTCCAAAAGTCGACTTTCCGGTGACACCACGCTGCTCCATCGAGGTCAAGTAGCGCATACACTCCATAGTACTTAATACACTTAGATTGACAGGGCTTCGTAAAGGGACGATAGAGAACCACTGCGCGATACTCTCCCCATTAATTGCACCCAGCTCACGAAACGTACTAGTAAACAGGACTTGCCGTCGATCCGCCTCCGTATTCTCGTAGAGCCACTCTATGAAGCGAGATAAAGTTCGTAGATAGACGTACTTGGTGTTGTCAGAGGTGATACTTCCCAGCACTTGCTCAACGCGAGCATCGAGAGCTTCCATCGCTACTTAAACTGCGACTCTTGCCGATAGAAACTGTATCGAAATAGCATAGAAATATTTCTAGTTTTTGTTTCGTTCACTTTGCACGACGAATTCCATTTATCTATACTTCTACGGAAATCGCCGTGCGAATCTGCCACTTCGTATAGAATTCGGGGTGCAAATTGACCGGCGAATTCCACGAATGCAAAAATGCCAGATATACAAAAATCAAATGAAACTGTCAATAATGCAAAATGTAGTGGAATTCATCGTGCAGTTTGCACGAAGCATATTGTGCCGCACATTTGGTACACAGTGTGAAAGTAGAAACACTACCACTTCGAAGTAAATGTGTATTGTGTAAGCTTACCGCTACTCACCTACGTAATGGTAGCTAGTCTAGCTGGAGCTGTGCCTTGCATGCTCACGGGCGAGTGTTCTCCACGATAGTTGGTCAAGTCTATGCGCTCTTCCTTTACTCGACGTCGATGAGAACGGTAAACGATTCTTTACTTGCTCAAAAAGAAGGCCAGCCGAATCGAGAGAGCTGTGCGCTCGCAGGACCTCATCACTCGTCAGAAGTGCTTCAACGAAGCGCATCAGCCACTGAAGCTCTGCAAGCCGGATCTTTTGTAGTCTTGAAGCCATATCGTGCTTTGATAGCTGCTTTAGTGGCGGTTGCCCAGCACACCATTGCTGCCACACAACGCGAACGG